AGAGATGAGGAGGGAAAGAGAAAGAGACAGTTTTCACACCAATTAGTCGAGACAGGATCGAGTCTCCCCCTGCCTGAATGGAGAGAGGGAGGGGGGAGAGTCTTGACCAGCGCCAACGCATCAGAACTAATAACCTTTTGTTTTAACTAATGAGGTCACTCTACGTCTGGCTCTCTTGAGATACTTACGTAGGCTCTCTTGGGACTCACCGTAGTAATTCGTGCCTAGTTTTTCTGTGACCTCGTGTTTTGCTCACGTAGATTACGTTTAACTAACGCCGTGCTTTCTTGTGTGCTCTTTCTCAATCTCGCCTTCTGATCGATACGCCGCGGTATATTTACGTGTTCGCGACCGCGACGCACCAGCGTCCTCGTGGACACACCGAAGTGATCCGTGCCGCACGCGATCGGTGGCCCAGCCACCCACGACACCGTCGCTCTCGCATCAGTGCGAACGACCAGGTCAGCGACGCGCCGTCAACGAGCAGCTCTGAGTTGCATTCACACATACACACACACGTTGGCTCACATCTTTGTATTGTATTTTTTGTTCTTAGTTTATTCAGTGTATCATTTAACGTTCGTAATATTCAGTTTAATTCAGTTGCATTTAATCCGGATTGTATTTGTTTTTATTTCATTAATAAATTGGGTTTTTTTATGCCTCCCGGCTTTTTTCCCTAAGTGCAGTTTTTTTTTCTTTATCCTCTTCCCATAAAACATAACTACGAAGCCTAGTCAAACCGACAAGGTTTCGAGCGTACAATGCACATATAGGCAATATAGTATATTTTGCACACCCCACCGATCCTTTGTTTAAAAAAAATACGGGAGAAAATAATAATATTATATAATTCACTGGGAGTTACTTTGGTTTCTCTCTTTAACTGTTTGCGGTACATTTGCGTCAAGTGTTCAATCTCGCGTCACGCCATGACTTGTTAACCCTTGCACACACGAAGTATAACAATACGCCACTGGAATGAAAGAGAAAAAATTTTGAGAAAGAGAGAAACACAACAAGTTCACATGAACCTAGTCCAGTTCCAGGATACCACACGGTTCTCGAGTTGATAAAGGCCATTTCAAGTTTTGGAGATTAAGTATATCGTGAGGCGCGTGCGGTGGAGAAAAAAAGCGCTTCCACTCAATCTGACGTACTTTTACGCCATCCTCCATACTTGCACTCTCCGCCGCTCGTTTATCACTTTTTCTCTTTCCCTTTTTTTTTCCTCTACGTACGCCCACGGCATTACGGGAAACGGGAATCCACGGAGAGTCATAACAATAAAAGATTCAAGGGATAGGGAGGGAGCGAGGGATAATTTGACGGCGTTCGGGGGATACTTATTTGCGGTCTCGCGGACCGCAGACGTTAGGGTCGTTGGAGGCTGGAGGAAAAAAAATTGAAAAGAGAGAGATGAAGCTTCGAGTATGTAGAGATGCAGCTAGTGGAGGGAGGGAACGTTAGTTGCCTGCCTCATTGGTTTTGTTACTATTTTGATGATAAACAAAGTTCCCCATCGATTTTATGTCTATTTTTTTTTTTTGTAGAATTGCAAATGAAAGGGAAAAAAGTGTGCTCCATATATTATGTATTCTGCTGATTTATCGATGGAATTAAAAAGAATGTCGATCATCTCTCGGATCGTGAAAATGAGGTGGGGGGGGGGGGGAAATGCTTGGTTCATTGGACAGCGAAATTGAATACCTACTACGTACGGCCGTTGGGCATCGATTTAATTCCGGCGCAAAGCATTACACAAGCTCCGATAGTCCAATCGGGGGATATTTTCTCGTACGGTGCGCGCGCCACCGCGTAAACTCGTTTTTACCGAGTGAACGAGGTGTATTGCCCTCCTTGAATTTTCATCAAACGCGTTTGCACGTAAAGAAGTACGCGTGCCGTGGGAAAAATTCATCCTCGACATTTGTATCATATAGTATTATATATTTTCCATTTGAATCAAAATTTACGATATCTACGATTTTAGTTTTTATGAAATAAATGTTTGTTAATTTACAATCTTAAATTTTCATTTTTTTAACCAAAACGAATTTATCTTTACGCATTTTAAAAAATAATGTGGATCATATTTCAAACAATTCTTTTTTTTTTTTTCTTTTTTAATAATATTCATTCACGTGCAGATGGTGATTCTTTGAAAGTTAAAAATCAAGAAATCGACTTTTTCGAGCCAAAGTTTAATTATACATCAGCAATCAACTGGTAGGAGGGGGGGTTGGCACTCTCCCTCGAACGGTACAAAAGCCTTAATTCGTGAAGATTCCTTTATTTTTTTTCAACTCTCACCGTACGTAGTTATGTACAATTAAAATAAGAGGGACTACTACTCGTACGTACACCCCCCAATAACCCATTAAATAACGAAAAAAAAAATAGATTTTATCATTCCAAGAGATGGTCCGAAAAATATATAATGTAATCGAAAAACGTATACCAACATTATCTGTAGTTTATGCAAAAGCCTTTTTGAAAGGCAATCCGCACCTGACGTACGGCAAGTATTCAACAGACGACGACGCCGAGATCGTCGCGTTGTACCCCAACGCGTCACCTCCCGATGGCACTCAAGCGGCCCTGATTTGATATAAGTGTATAAAAAGCATCAGATCGAACTCGTACGTATATATTAAGGGAAAGTATAGGTACGAGAGCTCGAAGGCAAAGAAAAGAAGAAGGAGAGATAAAGGGTATAGGAGGGTACTCGTCCTCCAGTTTGCCATGCAAATCAAAGAGGTATTATGTTATATACATAAGATAGGTAGATACACGACGACAGTGAAATACAGGGCGCTTTGTATAATTCATAAGGAGGGAATGAGCGCTAAGTAAGACGAAGGAGGAGGAGATAAGAGAAATCATCCACTACTTCAATTGACGTTGCCCACATCTATACCTCTTAAGAAATGTATTTAAGTAAAAGGGAATGAAGGGGATTTTATTTTCTCTCGAAATAATCAAGTGCGTCTTCGTGTTGGGAAAGGTCTGAAAAATATCGAGAGTCATCGTTCGAGAGAGAAAAGCCAGGCAAGTGGATATAAAGTAAGACGGGCACGGACGAGTCTACGGATGTACTTCTCGGAGGGCATTATCGAGTCGTGGGCGCGACGCGCGTGAGAACCCGATAAAACATACAGAGTCGCTCGCTTGTTTGCAAGTGGTGGTGGGAGGAGGATTGGGCGACGAGATTTAATTCGTTTGATTTGATTCATTGAATTCAACCGCGGTAAGTAGGGCTGCTCTTTTCCCCTTCACGGGAAAATTGTCTGTGCGCGCCTACGCGCAACAAAATTCGAGCAAAAATTAATCATTATCTGTTTTTTTTTTTTTTTTTTTTTTTTATACATATACGTCACAACGAGGTATACTATATAGTACGAGGAGACAAAGAGAACACGGTTTGAATAATGAGCTTATGCTATTACGAGGACTGTTGTGACGTTCAAAGGAACGGATAGGACATTGAAAGCTGCGGGGGGAGTTATTAACCGATTATTCTCTGCTCTCCTTCCTCTTGCGCTTCTGTCGTAAGCCCACCGGCTAATCCCCCCGGCTATACTTTTGCTGGGGGCTAATTAATCGTTTGGCGACTAAGGCTTCTTTTTTCTTATTTTCCTGGTTGCAGTTTTGCGCTTCATAGGGAAAAAAATATGTAAAAAAATGAAGAAAAAAAAAACACAAGGATTCGAGGGATAAGGTGACGCGGATTTGGCTGAGGCGCCTTGTCTCATTTAAATTTACTAGGACAAAAAATGTAAAATTATTATCTGAGTTGTCGAGATGATTTTTATCATAGAGTGGGAGTTTATTATTTATCTAGGCTATTTTCAAGAGTTGTCATTTTTATTGAGCTCGGATACCGAGTGTCTTTTGACAAGTTTTTATTTTTTTGAGAACTAACAATTTTTAGATTTCCAATAAAAAAAAACACCTTTTTGTTTAGTTCAATCGTTTTTTAAAATCAATGGTGTCGTATTGAAATTCGAAAAAAAAAAAAAATCAGCAAAGTAGTCTAAGCTCAAAATTTACCTATACTCTCTTTATCCGTACTTTTGAGCTGTTCTTCATACAGATGTACAATAGTTACCGCTAAAACCACAGTCAGCAAAAATATTTTTCAAAGTGCGACAAAAAAAAAAAAAAAAAAAAAAGAAAAAAATTCCAGAGGAAATTATAGGTTAATAGAAGTGAAAAATTGTTCTCTCTCGGTATGGCACGCGCACACGACAGAGACACTTTTTTTTTTATCTCCCTTGGTGTCTCTAGTTTACGGCCTCTTTAACCAAAGAATACGGAGCAGCAGCCGCCATAGAACTGCAGGGCATATTAAGGAATCCCTTTGTGCGATACTCCTTGCGATGGAGGAAATTTTTCCCTCGCGGGTGCAGAAAGGAAGAAAAGAAAAGACGAGCCTTTGACGCCGCTCCCTCTCGTTCGAGAGCAAACTCAAAGCGAGGTGTTTTCTTCCCTCCCATTTTTCCATCGGTCGGCTTTTTTTTAAAGGCCANTTTTTTTTTTTTTTTTTTTTTTTTTTTTTTTTTTTTTTTTTTTTTTTTCTCGTCACTTGCTTACTTACTTGCAGACGTTGATGCTGCTACGCCGGAGCTTTAACCACGGATCCATGGGCTTTTCGCGCCATGCGGGCTCGTTGCGATTTAATTTCAAGGATTCAAGTAAATTTAAACTCCTTCCGATGCAGCACTCGTACATTTTAAATAATCATAAATCCCGTTCAATTTTTTCAACCGTTAGCAGTTTCGCGGGTACACATATTTAACCAACTGGCTTGAGAAGGAAGAGCTGCGCGACCCTTGAGAGGAACAACTGATATTTACTTTAAACGATTTTTTCGTTTTCAAAATCATCACTGTTTATAGTTACGCAAGGAACCCTACCTCTTTCTCTCCCTCTGATGTGAACATATTAAATTTCCAACGAAGCGTCACAAATGATTCACCACTTCTTTTTCCAAACAGATGCCATTTGGCGCACAGACCTCGATTGGGTCGTGGTGCACCGCGACCGGCTGGTGGTGCTCAGCTTCATGAACATTCCCGAGAACTTCAGCCTAAGCGTCAACCCGACGAGCTACTACAGTACCTCGCAGCCGTACCTCGAAGACGAGCTCGATGACATTATCAACGGCACCAATTTGGAATCGGGGACGCACGTCACAACAGTCGGTCCCGTTGTCTCTTCCTCCGCGTCGTCGCCTGGCACCGAGGCTCCTCCGCCGACCTTCGACACGTCCTCTCCGACCGCCTCGACCACCACCGACAGAGATCCAGAGTCCACCGTTCCCGACCTCCTGCCGTACGCGTAATTATATTCACCAGCGTACCCAATTAACAACTCGATTGAGTAACGATGATGAATTGCAGTGGGCACGCGGTAGCTCCAACGCCATCGCCGACAAGCAGTGCCGGAGTGCTTTTGTCGCTGCGGAGACCAGCGTCGGCGCGGATGAACGCGAGAAACGTCCGGAACAGGCCAAAGTACAAGAAAAACAACGGGTCGTCGAGAGGTAGGTCGACCTCCGGCGCTCCCGGGCGAGCCGGGGGCAACATGAGCGCCCAGAGCTTGCCCCTGACCTTCAACAGCCTTGCCGATCTCGATCGCCCGGAGAGCCTCAGCCGTGACGAGCTCGACGAGACGAGTGAGTGTTGTCGTCGTGTGTTTTTTCATTTATACATACATTTACCCCCCTCCCCAAACGATACATCTCAAGGTGACTTTTTGATCCAATCAGCCGAGGAGTACTACGGGCCGGTGACGCTCGAGTACCTCAACTACGCGATGGCCCTGGTGGTCTACACGGTGCGATACCCAGCTGTCTTTTGGGCCACCAACAAAGCCCTCGGCACGATATTCAGCGTCCAATTGGTCGCCAATTCCGCCCAGAGCCTACTCACTTACGCCGGCATGTCGGTCCTCTACAAGGTACGTACACACCCTATCTGGCTCTCTCGCTGTCTCACTATCTACATAATTATGTATCTCTCTCTCTCTCTCTCGTTTTCGTAGGTCCAGGTGCTGGGGCCCCTCAAGGTTTTGCCGTTGCTGCGCCGGCGCGCCATCCCCACGGCGAGCGCCCTCTCGAATTTCCTGGGCGACCGTATCTTCCTGCTGAATCCCCACGTGACCCTCGTGCTCTTCGCCCTGTCCTCCCTCCTGGTGGTCATCTGCTCGAGCATGGTCATGTACCTGTACGCCTACGGCAGGTACGCCACGTTCCTTAACCAAGAGCGCGAGCGCCGGGTCATCCTGGCCAAGGAGAGCCGGGCCGAGGACACCAGCTGGACGTACATAACGCACCCTGCTGCCCTCTGCGTCTTCCTGGCCATCGGCATATGCAGCGCGCCCCTGCTCTACGATTACTCGGTCGTCTACCGAGGGAGCCTCGACGGCGCCGTCCTCGCATGCATGCTCGCCTGCGTCGCCCACCTCGGCTTCTGGCTGATGCTATGGCTCGCGTTGGCCGTCAAGCGCCGCTGGACGTTCAAGGTCCGCGTGACCATCGGCAGGGCCACGGTCAGATCGGCCAGGTCCTTGAAGCTGGTCACCGACGTCGACCTCATGACCGCCGGGGCCAGGGACGACGAGGAGTCCTTGGGCGCCGCTGCCCCGCTTCTCGTGGTCGGCAACGGCAGGACTTACACCGTCGCCGAGACTAGTCCCAAAAAGGCCATAATGGGGGTCATCCAGAAGGCGGCGATGGACCGCAAAGCCAGGGCGCAAGGTATACATACACCTCCTATTCTTGATGTCTCTCTCTACCAGAGATGAAAACTAGTGTATTTGATGGACTGTTTTTTTTTTTTTTTGTTTATTGTCACAGGTGGCGCGATGATGGACTCGACGGATGGCGGTGACTCGGCGGCCGACGGGGACGAGCAGATTTACTGGCTGAGGCCGAAATTGAGGCCGTCGCCGGTGCCGAACGGTGGCGTAGCGAGCGCTGGTGGTGGTACGGCCAACGATAAGGGCTGGCTGAATAAAAAAATCAAGCAGAAGGTCACCTTCAATGACTTGCCCAGTACGTCGAGCTCGCGGTAAATACCACATACTTTTGATTAAAAGGTGTCGCTCGCACCGTCGTTGCTACTGTCATTGTTCGTTCGTTGCATCGGCATGTACACATTCACAAACGATAACACTCATACATATTCATATTCTTTGTGAGTCTGTGATTTTTTTTTGTCTCATTAACTCGCATACAACACCACTGTTTCTACATTTTTTGGGACGCTTCATTTTTGTACAATATAGTTATACTTACCATGAGCTCCAAAAAGTTGAGAAACGACAATCATGCACAGTAACATAATTATACACATCGGACTAATTGTGTGTTTGAGCATATCATGCTGATCCGGTGCTCGCGAGTGATGTCATTAACAATCTCAATTACAAACTTATGTGTATAATACATCAAAGTATTGGGATTTAGGACGTACTATCATGTTTTTTTTACATTTAAATTAAAGTCGATAAAGTTCAAGTCTTATATCTTTCGAAACTACGTTGGCACAAAGGTTTCCCTTGACAAATTTTTTATTTTATTTATTTTAGTGAATTTCTAGCTGCAATATTCTTTTGTGCAATTGTTCATACATTTTCCACACAAAAGGTAATGGTAAAACGTTTAGCCAATGTATCCTCTTGCAGTCGTACAAATCTCAATACTTAACGAACAAAAAAAATACCCGTGGCTGCTAAAACTTTTTTTTATAAAAAACTAATTTCTAACAAGCTTTTATCGATACGTAAATCACATGTACATATAGTATGTATATATTATCAGTGAATGTAGTATTTGGAGCTCACGACCATTGATATTATCCACTGTGTGACATAATTCTAAATTTAAGTTAATAACTTATCAACATATAATATACATATTTTACGCCGTTACGTAAGAATAAGAAACACTAATGTAAATATAATCACCATAAAAATTAATTCATATTTAGAGTGTCGTCTAATGATAAAGACAAATTTGTACCTATATAATATAATGTAAATATATAATCAAGGCATTCGTGATGCAACTCAATGCTCGAGTATAACGCAGAGTTTATCGACGAATTCGTGATCCCATACACACAGAATATGTACATATATATTGTATACCTCGCGAATAACTTCCCATAAGCTCTCATATTACATCCCTTGCATGCGTGCGGCTAAATTGAATTTCATATTGCTTCTCAATCCAGCATCCTTATACATACGTATTCCTTTCCTCTCTCTGTTTGTAGATTTTATGTGATAATCATTCCGCGTCAAACTAGTTCAAAATATTATCAGTTTTTGTAATCTCTAATACATCAAGTTTAATCGACATTATACATATGCCTAATACGTTTCCATAGATTTACACCCCCTTGAAAACCGAAAGAACAAGTCCTATGTCTTTTAATTGTTGTGATTCCTGTAAATGTACATACTGTTTTTGACTGTCATTTCGCATCATAATTAATGTATGTGTGTTTAGTTTAGAACTTAACGAAATATTTATTATTTTTCACTAGTATACTTTTTTACCACTTATGTAAAAATTACTCCTTAATAAAAACAATTTATTACTGCAAAACTTTTTTTTTTTTTTTCATTTCTTTCTTGTGTTGTAGCTGTACTAGATTTATGTAGTCGTAGAATCACATCCTCCAAATATTTACAGTAACCTGTGAACACTAAAATAAATCCAAGAAATATTCATATTTGTTTATTCTTTTTTATTAATTGCACTAACTTTTTTCGAAATTCAAAAAAAAGTGTATTTTATTGAAATACATGGTTTTTGCAACAACAAAAAAATAGCAGAAATTTTATTAAAAATTAATCGTACGCAATAGTGTCAATACAAGTTACAATGAAAATTAAAGAATTTTTTTGTTTAAAAACTGTACTGTTGATGGAAACATCACAACTGATTTTTTTTTGTACCAATCTAGATGAGCCAAAAAATCAAAACAAATATTCAGTTTATGAAATCACTTGGACCTCATTATAGAAATTATTTTGAAATCATTTGTAAAGATACATAAGCTTACATGGTTCGAGATTTTATGAAATTGCATTAGAAATCTCATGATGAAATTATTGAGTCAATGGAATTATTCTGGAATTGAAATCCAAACACACCTTGAACGTATAAAATCAAAAGAGATGGTTGATATTGTTTTTGAATACCAAAAGGCATCCTCTAATGTGCGGTAAATTTGAACACTTTGTCTCAAACCCTATGATACACGTATATCATTTTAGAGAGACTGCATGTGGATATCGTATACTTACGCGAAAAGATATGCTGAAGAGCTCCTACGTAGTCGCGGTTTTCTCACGCGTATGCGATCGGAAATTCTTGTGTCACTACTTGCAGAGATGGTTAATTTTTTAACAATTCGAGCGATGGAGCCGCAAATGTTGATATATAATTTGTCGCGTATGCAACATCGGGCGTCTACACAAAATCATGATTTTTTATTTGAAGAAAACGTAAAATAAACTTTCATCGATCGATTGCTTACTTTGGCACTAACAATGATAAATCGGTCAAGGACAGTCCTTGCGCCGACCTCATTTTTAACCCACAGAATTAAGAAGTCTCAAGCAGTGTATAACACATTACGTATACGTGACACACTCACGAATATAATTAACCATCAGAGAGGGTGTGCAGAAAGGTCAACAAATACTTCGACTAACAGTGCCTTATTTCTTCGTTTTTTTGTCTTTTGACATGTAGCAGTAAGGGAAAGGGCAGACGCGGTGTCGCTGATGGCGGTGCTCCCGAGGACGACGGCGACTATGCGACCCTGCGCGAACTACCTTTACACGAACTGAACGACGACACCATATCCGAGGAAAACAAGGTACAACAATCACTGGATGTTTTTTTTCTCACCATGTACATTTTATACATGCACGTACGTGTAAAAAAAAAAAAAAAAAACTGCACGTTTGATTTTGTTCTTATTTTTTTTTCTCCTCATTTTGCTCTAGCAGTGGGGAGGATGGCTGACGCCTCGTAGAGAGGATTTTCCAAATTTCACAAACGTAAGAACAAAAAGAAGCCCGCTTGCCCTTGTTCACTTGCTTATAATCAATTACGCTTTAAGAACTAACAATAACGTTAAACTGGAGTGGGTGTACAGCAGTAGGCGTTTCCAAGAAAATTATTTCATGATTTTATTTATTGTAACCGTTTAAGTACGTGTCTTTGCATGAATAATTTTTAATTTTTTATCATATCTATGTTTCAACACCTAACCTAACCAGTACCTACTTACTTGCACAAGCGATGGATGTTTTCAAAACCTTCGGTACCTAACCTACTTGCATGTATAATAATTAGCGCTCTCAAAAGTGGCTACAATTGAAATAATTGGGATCCGAACAATTCGAACAACAGATAAGGAGACCTAAATAAGTATGGGGTTTACAAAAATGACCATTTCGTGTAATGTTACACAGGAGTCATAGGACCTTGGTGATGGTATGTTAAAGATCACCAACTTGTATGAATTTACATAAGGTATTAAGTATGCGCCGGCGGCGTTGTTCGGAACTCAGTAGATACTCTGAATAACCACAAAAATACTCGTAACAAGGTTAATTCAATAATTTAAATCTGAGATGCTCTCATCAATTCTGACTTAAACTCTCGTCTAGAGTAATCAAAGTGGGATACTTATGAGACACGCAGTTTGCAATCACCTAACAAATCGTCTACACTTATATTCTTGATAGGACTCGAACCATTATTGTTTCAAAATGATAAATTAACAGTTGTGTAGAAAAAAAAGCTTACTTGATCAACAATGTCCAACTAACTGTATCCCCCACATGCAATCCTCCATAATTTGGGAAATCAACGAAAAACACAGCTGCTGGAGTGCGTGAGCGATGACCAAGTGACGTATTACGCGAGCGGCAACCGAGACCTGCAACCTTCGGAAGAAGAGGCCTCACCCCTGAGTCCCGAACAGCCACTGCCAGACCCACCACCAGTTTCTTCGGTTTGCCTGCAAGTCGCGGACGTTGGCTTGCCTCTATCCCTGCCGCCTCCGACGCCGACGTCTCAAGAAATGTCCCTCGTTCACTCCACCAATCCTCAGGTAGCCACAATTACTCACTTGATCCTTAACTGCACTCGTTGGATGATATCGATCTATTTCACACGAAACACACTTTACCTACTTACAAACACCCGAGTGTGCACGTGTGCATGAACGCGAACAATTATAGGTTATTAAACGTGTGTTCAACATCTATACGCTCCGATTCTCAAAGTGCTATTTTTTGTTTTCTTCCTGCTGCTACCCGTGCACACGTTCCGCGAGACAGATAACAAGTGGCCAGACGCCGCGTTGCCTCCAGCGCGCCGACTCTGGAATGCCGCACGACGAACTGACGCCGCACTCGGACTCGTCGCGCTCGCCTCCCCTATTGGACGGCCTAGCCGGTAACACCTGCGCATCCTCCATCTCGTCAACCAATAACACCGAGGCTAGCAACAACAACAACAACAGCAGCAGCAGCGGCAGCACCAGTAGCAGCAGTGATAGCACCACGTCGAGTGGAGTGCACAGCAACGCGAGTTCCCTGCAGCAGCAGCAACAACAACGCCGGGCCACGAGTGTGGAAGATTTGCTCGCGAGCACCGCAACCCGGGAGGAGCTGACGTCGAACTGGCGCAGCTGTTCGCTCCAGCGCGGTGCTCAGCCACTCCCGCCCCCGACCTCCTCGTCACCTGCCAAGTTCAGCAACCCGGGCCGAGTGATCGCCAACCCGACTGCCAATTACGCGCCCAGCAGCTACGCCAGCAACAACAACAACAACAACCATCACAATGGCGTCGGCAACAACTTGTTGATTAATAACAATAACAACGGTCTGGTGGCCGTTGGGGGTGAGATGGGTGGCTGTCCGGCCGCGGCGGTGATACTCGAGAACGAGGCCACGGTCGTCATACGCCGGAAAAACTCGAGGCCCAAGCTCGTGGAGCCGCCCGCCCTGAGCGAGGAGCCCTTCGGCAGGTCCACCAACATGAGGATGACCTCGTTCACGGAGAACAACGACCTGAGAGCTATACAGGCGTCCTCGGCGACTTTGCCGCACTACCCGACCCAGCCGGTTGTCAACGCCAGCAGCTACCCCCACTGCTCGACCATGCCTCTACCGCACGGGTCGAGTAACGCGAACCACGGAGGAAGCAGCGCGAGCATGTTTTCCAGCGCCGGTGGTATCATGAGCACCGGCTCCGCGGGAAGCTGTGGATCCGTACCCCGGCACCCATCAGGTAGTTAATTATTTTCTTTACCAATACACATTTTGTTTTTTTTTTTTTTTTTTGCTTGTATAGGTTATTTTTTTAATGATTCTTTTGAACACTCCAGGTAATTTTAGCAGGACAACAACAGCCACAGCAAGCACCACCGTCGATTCTCGGCAGTGGTGGTAGCAACAGCAGCTTACCGAGCCACACGACTCTACCCTCGCACCACAATGGCGTTCGGTTGATGCTCCACAACGGTCCCACTTCCTTTGCGAAGCGCTTCCCGCCGGTCCCGCTACTGCAGGGAGCCGGTCAGCCATGGCCTGTACTGCCCAGCGCCACGTCTGGTTCGAATCTCCACAGCCTGCACCATCACCACGCGCACCACACCTTTCCCCAGGCCCTCCAGCTCAACGCGCCGACAAACGGTCATCATTATCAACAACAGCACATACAACCCCAGCCTCACTCCGCCAGGCAATCCGATCGCGACTCGGCGAATTTTTCGATGGCCAGTAGCGGCGACTCGGATACCTGCTTGCCACACTAGAGCTTGCCGGATCATCATCGCCTGTACCTACGATTGTGTTACATTTATTCTACTTGAGACTTATTCTCATTCGGTGTTTCGGCGATCTAGCGGTATGATTGCTGTTGTTGTTGTTATTGTTGTTGTTGTTGTTGTTGTTGTATAGAGTTCCTATTTTTAGCATTATTTTTTTTACATTATTCTTATTATTGTTGTTATTGTGCATTTCAAAGTGCCAAGCAGCATACTTTCTGTTTTTTTCTTTTTTTTTTTTTTCAAGATGCAAACATACAATACGGTTTCATATATCTCTCAAATAGTTTATCTACATCTTTAGTTACTGCTTGGTCACATTATTTTAATTTTATCATCAAAACGTGATGACTGTTTAAGAAAAAAAAGGTTGGCTTGTAAAAATAATTTTACCTCTAGATTTAAATGTTGGTTTACCTTATTCTTCATCGACCCTGCGTACTTTTTAAATTCTGTGATTAAAAATTAAACATTGTTTTTCAATGGATAAATAGTGTCAACATCTCTTTTGGTAAATTACAAATTTTCATCACTAGATAATTTTTCACATGAAAAAGCTGAGTTTTTCTTAAATATATAAATATGCTCTATGAGTTTAGTTAAAATTTAAAATAAAGAAAAATTCTTTGAAAAGAGCTAATAAAAATTGCTTGCCTAAGGCCAATAATTATCTAAACTAAATTGTCCAAGACAAACTAAATATGTATACACACAACATGCATAGGATTTACAACTAACTAATAAGCCATAATCGAAAAATAAAAAAATTGAAGACATTAATGGAAATAATTTTCCTAGTTGTCGACGCAATAGGTACTTTGTTTTAAAAACATTTATCGTACATTATTGTGAATGGCAAGATTTTTTTCTCCATTCGGATGAGAATAGAGCGTCGTCAAGGAAAATCATGCATTGTTCTTCGCGTATTCTGTTTGATATATTATTAAAAAAAATACAGCATTCTAAAAGAAAAAAGGAGACGTAAGCCAAAAAATAAAACAATTTTTAAGATAACTAAATGGATTATATAAAATGCAATTGTTGTGTATCGCTCTCTTAAAAAGGTTCGTGCATATTGCGGAAAAGACATGTAATACGCACTTGGCATCACTCTGAAACGCACTTTTTTTCTCTTTCACATTACCATAAATATACGAGTTTTAGAGTGATACAAAGTAATATGTTTTCCATGTCTTACGGTTAAAGTATAATAATGTATGAGTATCGAGTTAAAACAATTTTTTATACGTATAATATATATATATAACGAAACGTATAGCTTATTATATAAAATAGTTCACAAAAACTGATGTATATTCCGTTGCGAGATATAAGTAAATCTATGTACATTGCCACACACAGCTTTGAGCAAACAATTATTCCTCAAGAGCTTCGTTTGTTTGCTTGTTCTCCCAAAGATAGTATTTTGTACGATATATTGAGGTAATTTTAATGTGTATATACGATTATGTTAGTCATCTCTTTATACTGTTAGGATATTTCATGAGAAAAAAAGGGATTGAATCGAGGCTCAAGTAATATTACGAAAATGTGCTCTCCCGTCTATCTCAATCCCTATTATACTTGCACACACTGGATGGGGTAACTAACTAGCATGAATTTCATAACACGCACCCAGTGTCCGATTATTCGCTAAAATAATGACTCATTGATATATATTCTATATATATATATCTGTGTTCTTCGATGTAACTATTTATACAGTGCATTATAAAATTATTGTCAGAGCGAGTTTAAACGGTAGAGTTTAATTCGCAAAAACCGTTTACCTTATCAATTTTATCGCTGGACTATACCTTAAATAGTCAAATGATGAATTACTGCCGCTCGTTGAGAGCACTTTCAAATTTTTTGTAAGTTCTTGTCTTTTTTTTTTTTTTTTTTTTCTTTTTTTTCTTGTATGTACATAAAAGCATTTGTGATCAACATCAGTGAATCCTGATGGAGTGAAAAATGATGAAACGAATATAGCTTAGCAAATGCTTTCACAGCCTACTATTGAATCATAATCGCAATGCTTGAGTGATAATTCATGGCAAATTTACAAAAAAGCTATTTTACATAACGTAAATCAGACAAGTTATAACATTAAATGGTATCTTACTGATCTTGGGTGTATAGTAAATAAGTATCGGGAAAAATGCATCTTTCCCAAAATCGGCTAAAATTTTAATGAATAAATAAATTTGGGAAAAAAAAAATTATATAAAGGATTCGTACTTTATAAAGGATATGTACTTTAAATGCGGTCAGAAAATCATGATGATGACTGGCAGAGCATAGCTATATGATATAAGCCTGACTTCAACAAGCCGATTTTACACACATATCAACAAACCGCGAAAGGACCAGCTGCGTATAATTTAGAGCAACTTATAGTGTGAAAATGAATGATAATAATGCCGGATTTTTTATAATGTGATAGGAATGTGCCGAGACACTCACGTGGATTAGACTAACAGGCTTTCTATACACGATTGCTTTCGATCGAAGATGATTTTGTCAAATTGATATTTTTTGATCGATCGATTGCATTGTTTAGAACAGGTAGAATATCAGCTCTAGGTAAATATTGATCAAATGAAATACAAAATGCCTTAAAAATTCTCTTTAAAGGTAAAATGTTTGTTGACCGACTTGGACAACATCAAGCAAACATCCAAATGATAAAATTTATCTAGTTCGAAAAAGAACCAATAGTTGGAATTTTCTAAATCTCAAGGAAATTTGTCCTTGCGAAAGATAAAAAAAAACAATGTGACAATAGAAGCATTTATAAAAAAAAGCCTACCTCCTTACATCTACATCATAATCACCACCATATCATGATTGTCACCACTACCATATTGCCATTATCACACTTGTGATTCTCATCCTCAGTCATTATTGTTATAGCTAATTGTCTTTGAAAGAATAAAGAAAAATACGTTCGTACAATAAAAAAGACATGTCGAATGTAAAGCACAACAAAATACAAAAACAGGATTAAAAATAAATACGTGTAGTAAGAAAAGAAGAAAAGTCGTGAATTTGAGGCGGTATCTTTTTCAAGATATTTTTTTACCATTTAGAATCAGCAGTTTCCAATCGTTCTGTCGAAAATTTAGAAAAACGTATAATAGATGAGTGGATGTAGGTACTTACTGGAGATACATGTATTGTCTGTATACTAATGATGATGAATGATTTTTTAAGATCGCGAGTTTCGAAAACCAATGCGTGCAATCTTGTTACGTAATATAATTATTAAAATTAGGCACTTTCCGTAATTTGGAAATTGCACATAGCTGCTTTCTTTGATAAATAATTGGCATTTAATCGAATAAAATTCATTTATGTAAATTTTTATCAGTTTAAAAAAACGTGTAGGAAGCAAGCAATAAATCATATTTGAGCTTTTAATAAATAATGTGTGACCAATTAGTTTTGAGCATTTGATATAAATTGTAGCGTAATTTTTAGATTAGCGGTGTGACAACCGACAATGGTTTTGTGACTTTTGTCCTTTTTTTATATTTTTACACGACGATTTTATGTCCTTCTAACAATCATTGCATAATTTTTAGTAAGTTTGAAGATAACAGTAGCTGTCGATACGTGGTAACGCAAGGAGCTTTTCAGATTGTTTCTTTGTTTTTTCGAGTGAAGAATCTCTTTGATGACACTAAAACTAGTATAGAAATTGTGCAAAAAAACTGCTTCTTGCGATCACAAAAGAATGCATCATTATTATTGTTACTTCTCGAGAAATGTAAATAACTTCCGAGGAGACATCACTGAAAATGAGCTAATTGTAAGATTAATGTATAAAGACTGATTAGACTAGCCTCGGTATGCATTTAAATTTCGTCGATTGAATTATTTAGAAAAACCAGCAGCAAAAACCGATGGCTTGCTCGCTCATACGAGCAAAAACAATAAATTCAATTTAAGCGCTTAACTGCAATAAGAAATTAAAATAAATAATTAAATTTTATTATTAATCGGTTGAAAGCCTTTGTGTAATCCAACCAAATTATCAAGTAATAAATTCTTACTTTTTCTTGTGTATATTATACATTTTTTTGCGACGAGATATCAAGTCTAAAATGTAAGAAAAAGTTTGGAACGCCGTCATTTAATGTGTATTTTTATTGATTAATCTAATTTAGATTTTTTATATGAATGGGTGCAAGTAACGAGATTGAACAGTTTTTAGGATCGTTTTTGGACAAGAAAAGTTGAAAAAAGATAAGAAAGTATAATGTAACCAACGCAGTTATAACAAAAGCGGCACTATTATCGTCACGATGTATCAATATTATTTGAGCATTATATTGAACCATTGAACTAAATGTAAACTTTGTATATTCATTTACCAAGTTAATAAAAATAAAACTATGCCACAATTTTGAGTATATACAATTTTTTTATTATTATTTAAAAAAAAAATTAAAATCAACTTAATTTCACAAGTTGTATAAACAAGGTATGGTAACTTTGATAAAAACTTCAAGTGGGACCCAGAACCTTGTAAACATGCATGCTTTACTCAATAATTACTCAACAAGTTGTTCCATCAGTGATCTCACATTTTTGAGCTCTCCAAGCAAATAGCTCAATTTTTCTTTTGGAATGTTAATCAAAGTCTCATGTTCATTATCTCCTGGAGTATGAACAGTCTTCAAGATCATTTTAGCAGATGGCGAGTTTTCAGCAGGCACAATTTCAATGGATGAAACCCTGTTTACTACAAAAGAGTATTTGATGTTTGTCACTAACGCGTTATTTTTATGGACAAAAAGGATTTAATTTATATTTACTTCTCAATGATTGTTCTGTAAGCAAGACAGTGATCTGAGCACAGTTGTCTGTGTGTAGCCTAGATACGATGGTACTGTGTTCTCGAGGCAAGCCCAACTGTTGCAATTCACTGCTCAAATCTGCTGGAGAGACGCTGTTTCTCGATGAAGACTTGAATATCATATCCAGGGCAGCAATGAGAGCTTTCACGTTATCAAGCTCTGCAATGAAATTCCCTGATAAAATTTGCTTACCATCTAAACGATAGTATTTATAAAACTCTAACCTATTTTTGACTCTTGGCTGAATTTTTTCATTTTTTCTTGCTGAAACGTTAAGATGGTTCGATAATAACGTGAAATAAAAACACGAAAGTACAACATGAACAAAAACAAATTACATCGATCTCCTTACTGATGATAGCTTTGATTACAATCTGAGAAAGGGATTTCATCTTGGATGATGGCTGGAAGAACCAAGAATTGAAATTAATTTGTGTCCCACAAACGTTGAATATTGTTTCTACAAACCATTTGAGATAAATTATAAATTTCAGCTAGTAACCAGTCCGGACAGTCAACGTCCCCTAAAAATCTGAACCTCTGAAAATGAAAAATAAAGTAAACGAGGAAAAAAGTATTTACTCTGTAGAAAAGTACAAGTTTCATGATCATTTTACCATATTTAAGTTATGCCAAGTTCAAAATAGCATCAGTATTTAATTTTAAAAATTTTACAAGAATCACTCGTCAAGATCAACTGTCAACTGTCAACAACAATGTTTACACACTTGTCTGCTCTGGCTGCCATACATATATAGCTATATACCGATGAGGTGAAGCTGCGATCGATACAAATCGATGTTTTTGGGTCGGTCGGTTGTGTTCGATCTGACTTTATTTGCATTCAAATGTAAAATTAATATTGAAAACGTATGAGAGCAATCATCCAAATTCAATACGGATCCTGGCGTAAAATATATATTTTGTAACAAGTCAAATTATTTTCAAAATTGATAGAAGCACCTTTCGGTCAAGAAGATTCGGGTTCAAGTCCTCCTTTCTTTCGTTGCTTTGTAAATTCTATAGTTGATAAAGTACCCTGGGCGTAGTTGTGTTTTTGCGTAATAAAAAAAAGGCCTCAAAACGAGATGTCCGATATTTTTTATAATCATTGCTTGTTTGCCCAAAGGTTTTTAACTAATTTTTTATTATCCTTTTGTTTGATTAAGTAATCTTTATTTTAAAAAGGGTAAAAAATCGTTGAGTGGAATAAAAAAAATCGACCATTTTCTTGCATACGGCATTACATACGTATAAAAAAATTATGTATGTATGTCTACGATAAAAAGGTCAATTTAATAAATTTTAATACGAAAATAATTCAATCCAACATTGATTATGATTTTTTTATAATGAAACATTTTAGATTTAGTATACGGACTTGTTTGATCTCGCTTCATTTTTTTGTTTGTTCCATTTTCGTCATTCAACAAATCGTTAAGTAATTTATGGTAAATATAAGAAAAATGTTATATTTTACTTCTTGTATCAGAAATAAAAAAATGAAATGGTAATGGAAATTAATTTTTATTGAAATTGAATGCGTAACATAATTTGTCATATATTTATAACAATTAGTGCAGACGCAATAAAATAACAAAGACAATTTGAAATTATTATTCAAGTACATTGGACACACACACGTACATTTAGATACACACATATATATATATATTTATTACTTATTTGCTCAGTAGGTAAGGTATACATCGATATGTGAATAAACAGGACCGGAATAATTGTTTTTGAATTTCTTTTTTTTTTTTTTTTTTTTTTTTTTTTGTTTTCCATGCACACATGCGTTTCGTAAATTTAAAATACAATTTTAGTTACACATGAGACTCTATTTGAGCGTTAATAAATTATCATCGACACTAAGTAGATACCTATATATTTACATATTGCATCTCATTTGTACCTCCCCCGGCTAAGACCCGTGACTGACACACAAAGACTTTTTTTAAGCACAATTAAGTAGTACATGCAAGGGATACAAGTACTGCAGATCGTTTGAATAAAAAACAAATTCCTGCCTTTGGTTAAAATGCGTGTGAATGTGTGTATATCTGTATATGCACACATCATGAGGTTTACATTTTAGAAAAATATAGACAAGTTGGTCTACTTTCGATTTATTTTACGATCATGCGGTGTCTGGTACAACATGACGCAACCAACGGTATATATATATATATATATTATAGGTACTACAATAAACTCGTAATTTATTTTTTTGACTTTTATTCTCTCCTTAGTTTGTTTTTTAGTTTATTAAGTAGTAGCACGGAAGTACCAATATGTGCATCCAAGTCTTTTTCAGTACATTCACAGCATAATTGAGCGCATAAAATCAATCAACCCATAGTATTGCTTCACGCATTCGCGAGAAATATTTAAAAAAAATCATATACCATTGTAGCACAGATAGTAGCTCCGGCTTGGAACGAGCAACACATCAATAAAATTGTGTAAAAATCAACAAGAATCGACCGTTGCGATAATTAATTTGTACTCGGCTGTTACACCGTTCCAACGAATCAATCTACTAATAACATTCTATTTTTTTGGTGCGTTCAACGAAAATGTACATTTATGAAAAAAAATCGTTAAATGCAACGTTTCTTGGTCATCCATTTGTTTGTGTCGTCTTTGAAGGAAGAATTTTACTTCCAACGATATAGTAATCTATTAAAATTTCAATGTATTATCAACTTTTAATAAAATTTTCATGATCACAATACAATATAAATTTTACATACATATATAATATACCTACATGTAACGAATAATATGTCGCAAGGAGAGATTTGTATATTTACAATTCCTTCAGGTGTGTATATTATTGTTATTTTTTTTTTTCTCTCTTAACTATTGATCCGCATGCTGAATCGTAATCGTTACATTTTTTGATTGATTCCACATTCATGACATACATATATTTCATAGATAACAGCAGGTACACATATTATTAATAAAAAAAATTTATAACGGAGACTCTTGAAATGTTTGTAGGCTTTTTTCCATCCGAGGACTCTCTAACACTGATGTTCTCGTAATCGCTTATGAAATTATAATTAAAAAAATGTTGGCGTAGAAAATGTTTTTTTTTTTTTTTTTTTATACTCTGATAAAAATATCCAGGGGTTCTTCTTCTTTGACGTAAGAGGTGTATCTTTTGATGGCAAGCGTTACAAATCTTTGTGCTGGAAAACTTGATTTTTTTTTTTTTTTTTTTTCTCTCTTTCCTCCTCCCCAGCACCCAACTAATCTCCCAAATAGCTTCTCGTAGCGTTCGTTAGAGAGTAAAGTTTTTTGTGCGTAGGTACCGCGTAGTTCGCGAAACAAAAGTATCATTTCATTAAGACCATAAGCATCCGATAGCTAAGCCGGAGGGGAAATGGAGTTATCTCCCTCTCTCGTTTCAGGGGGAATCAACCGAGTGTAAGTAGCCAACTGCGAGATCTGCGCTGTTTTTGTGCTCGTGATTTTTTACCATCCAATCGATGCAACGCGATGCCTTTATCGAGAGAGAGAGAGAGAGATGGGGAAGCTATAAGAGCTATAGACGCGGATGGGGAGGTAAGCACGAATCCTTCCTTAGAAATTAAAAGGGGAGTAAAATGAGAGATGCACATTTACAGTCGTCTTCGTAGTGATCGTCTAGCGCCCCTTGAAGTTCTCCTCCCGCCAGTCCTCCTCGTAATATACCGCCCGCGGCACTTCTCGTTTCTCTTTACTGCTTTGGATCTAGAACAGAGAGAGAAAAATAAAAAAAAAAAAAAAAAATCATGTACAAGAGATGTTGAAGGAGAGGGAGAAAAAAAAGCTTTTTCACGCGAAAGCTGACGAGCTCGCGTCATTACCTATCACAACTCGGGTACTGATGCCTATAGTACCGCGATAATGTATCCAACAAAATTATTTTGCTTGCACCAGTATAGCTGTTATGTTGATCCAAGTACGAGTATAAAATTCATTGTCAAATTTTATCAACGTTACTTCGTTAACTGTAATATTGCCCCATTGCCCAATGTATAACGAAGTAGACAATTTTTGTCCTTCAGCGGTTGGCACACGGATTTCTTTTTTCTCTCACTCCCACAATATGGCCAATTTTTTCACTCGTCTATATATGCATTTAAAAGTGTCCAGTTCAGTGGCACTGGTTAAACAAATGTCATCAATACAACCGCAAAGCATTGGAAATATGTATAAACTTCAACCCACTTGGATTCACAATGTCTTTTCGCTCGAAATAATTGCTTTGGAAAACTCGCGAAGCTAAGGTACGGCAAGCGCGAATAATTTCAAAATCTATTATGTTATACCGAGTAATGACGAATAACAACGATAATAAAATGCATATAAGACTCGAAGGGTGCAGTCGAGCGCGCGTGCAAAGTGGAAGAGAATTTTCGATTAACTTCCAATGAACAACTTTTGCCGGGTACTTAAATCGTGCGCGTGTAACGCCTCTCGCACTACGGAAGAGTCTCCAACTTTTCGGTAGAGGGGTAACGCAAGGGGAGCAAGAAATCCCTCGAGTTATATCGAGATGTGTACATTCATGTATGTCTTACATAATTATATCCTAAAAAGAAAAGATTTGCTTGCAAGTGCATGAAAAAAAAAAAGAAAAAAAAAAAAAAAAAAAAAAGAAAGTGGATTCCACGTGGGTTTAAGTTTGCGCGGGTTTTTACGCGAAGAAAACTCGAGAGGATTATAGTTTAGCTGTACGCACTAAAGCGGGTGCGTATATTTTTTTTTTTTTTGTTTTTTTTTTCCTCCTTCCATTGAAGGAGAAAAGCAAAGTCCTTGGTAATAAAGTAGATAATGCGAGCAAAGTCTTAACTATTTTATAGTCTAGCCTCCGTATATACGTATACGAGATGATTTGGGATATTAATGGCATTTACCTGTTAAGTATATAGGTACTACAAAATGGAAATCTCAACGTGGCACGAAAATGGCACGCGATATAGATATACGTAAACGTTTTTCGAAGGTGAAGCAACAAGCACCGCAGAACCAGAGCCAGTAAATAATTATAGACGATGGCACAATTAAAATTCGTTCATAAGCCGTTAAAGGAAATATCTCGTATGGGCCGTTATAGCCCATATATGAGTGCAAAATTAGAATCGAGGCGGTCTTTTGCCTCACGTCCAGTGTATACGATTGAGCCGATTCAGGTGAGAATATAGTACGGCAAAGTACAACATATTTACAAAGAAATGTATGGGTGTATATATACTAGTAAAGATGAGCCCTCAAGGGTACACATACCGGGTGGGACGTTAATGGATGCGCCAACTGTGTGTACATATATATGTATACGTATACACGCTCGGAGGAGAAAAGAAATGTCGCCGCAGTTGCGTCATACATATTGTATATCCGAGTCGGGAAATGCGGCGAATTTATACGAGGCAATATAACGGGGTGGCGTAGCTAGGTACCAACAATTTACAAGAATAATTTAAGAGCCGGTGGGATTTTCCTCTTTTTTTTTATGCACGCACCTTTTCATTTGTGGTTGTTTTACCATCTCGGCGAGTGGAAACAAAAATATTGACAAATGACGTACATTTTTCCCTTCTTCGTCGCGTGAGGCGAATACTAATTTTACTGCTTGCGGAGTGAAATTTTGACGCCTCCGTTGCACGAAACCGTATCACCACGCATGCCGGGAGATGATTAGTCATATTTTTCTCGATAACAAGTGTACCACGCGCGCGAGCAAAAAGAAACATGATTGGGATTCCAAAAGAAAAGCTGCACACGCTATAATTAGGGCATGTACTATAGAAGCATCAATGAGAATAAGCCCGTATACCCGAAGGACGAGCGGAAATCGTTGTATAGGGATACAGACGGAAAAAAAGGTAACAACGAGCCGTCGCAATTTACATGCGTATATAAACCAACAGTGCATGTAGTTAAATGTATACTATAGATGTATGCGTACGTATGGGTATAAGGTGAGTATACCAGCAACATAAACAGTAGAAAAGAAGAAAAAAGGGCTGCTGATGGGCATCCCCATTCGGACACACGAAAGAGGAAAGAATAAGTAGATCGGAGAGAAGAAAAACTCGCCCCCCTTCCCCGAGGGACTTTGTTCCCGGGATACAATGAGTACATATACATACATACATACATACATATATACACGTGCAAGTGTAGGTGGAAGGATACATACATACATACATATATACACGTGCAAGTGTAGGTGGAAGGTCGCCGACGATTATTATATATACAATGCCGTCCACGTGGGTGTGCGTATATACGCGCGCATGAGAGCGCATAACGCGTATAGATAGTTTTTAGCGCGGAATAAGTTGCGGACGACGCGCTGGCGCCAGTTGTACATTATATACGCTTACTTGGGGTGTTTGGTTCTGAGGCTATACCGTATATACATATATGTACATGTACATACCAACCGCATCGACGCGTATTTATGCTTTTTACAAATTGTAATAACGCGTTCCTCGATTGTTTTTTCTTGTCATTGGTAACGACTGTTTCTAATTATTTGGCGCCAAAGTAATTAAGGGGGGGGGAAGGGGGCGATCGTTCGTCCCAATTGCGTGGGAGACGAATCAATTTCCGAAACTGCGTCAGTAAGTAACAATTTTACGCCCCTCCTCTGGAAGAGCAGCTTTTAACGGCGCGAGCTTTGACTCTTTGCCAGATGCCGACTCCTCGCTGGATTCGACGCGCGTGTATAATCTATACGTTATACATCATCAGATCTATTTTTGCCGATGTTGCTGAAAAGATTGGCGGTGAAAAAAAGCAAGTTTCAAGTTTCCTGGGTATACTGTACAGTATATAATATTATACACGACGAAAGTATATAAGTACATACTTGTTCGAATCATCCCCCCACGTGCACGGGTATAAATAATGTATATATTATAAGCGAGTCACGTATCTCGGGCGCACAAAACACCCCTCGTTATCCCCAATGCCCAAGTGGAAAGAGTCCCCGGGAGGGAAAAGCTTGGCGTACTACGGTGCAGCGCTGCGCCTCAATACCCGCGTCAATTTGTCGCTTTTGTTCGGCGCCCGACGAAAAGGATATTGTTTAATCCCGTCTCTTCCTCGTGCCGTCAAAGGGCGCGCCTCTCGATATTATTTCCGCGCCGAGGGCGGCTCCTTGCTCGAAATTAAAAAATTTCCAGGGCGCCCACGCGTGGAACAATCCTCCCGAGACGCGGGGGGGGGGGGGACTATAGTCCCCATACCCTTGTAAGAAAAGAAGAGTTGCGAGTGCATTTTTGAAGGGGTATATAAATATACACATGTGTATACAAACCTAATCGGCCCGAGGCAGGTGACTCCTCGCGTTGTGCTCGGCCGCGGCGGCAGCCACGGCTGCGAGCTCGAGCTCGTCGTAGACGTCGGCCGACGAGGGCCAGGTGGACACGAGTTGCTTGGGCTGCTCGAGCCTCTTGCCCCGCACGCCCACGAAGCCTTTGATGGCTCGGCTGTCCCAGCGCGGGTTCTTCTTGCCCCGCGAGCCGAAGAACCGGTAGGGCGAGCGCTTCTCCAGCTTGTAGCTCCCGCCACCTCCTGCCGCATCTGATATTCAATGTACAAGCACATGCGTCATTTTTTTTTTCAACGCGAGGCCGTGCGTGTCTCTTACCCTCGGGCTTGGTGGGCAGGCTTCGTTTGCCGCGCATCCCGTGGAACGACATCATCATTGGGCGCTTGTCGACGTAGTTGTCAAAGTCGTTGGGTGGCTCGTACGTCATGTCCTTCTTGCCCCTCATACCCTGAAACCGAAGGGAAAAAAAAAAAAAAAAGCCGTAAAGTTGGAGGACACGCGTCCATCAGTCGTACAATACACATATCCAACTATATGTATATACACGCCCCTGCGCGGATGAGCTTATTTGTTTGGCGTTTACGCCAGTTAGCAAGGAGCTAGCTTTCATGCTTATACGTTATATGTATATATATGTACCTATTTGATCGGTATACGGCGATGGGTATAAGTGTAGTGTCGCGTGACATTGAGGGAAAACGAACAATAAAGTCATCACTGCGTGTACTTCTCTGTGAAGACCCGCACAAACTATTGTGGCAAAATGACGCATTGTTCGCAAAATCACATCGTTATTGTTTTACATTTTTTCATCCTTTGGTATTTTTTATCCTTCGTCTCTCCCTCTCTCTCGATCCATTGAATGTTGATACGCAAAGTTGCTCGCAAAAATAATTATGAGGAAATCCCAAAAAAATATCCCGTTTTTTTCCTCCATTTTAATAAAAAAAAAATTTTTTTTTTCAGGCACACCTTTGAGATTAAGCTCATTTTACTCGTAATGACGNTATATATATATATATATATATATATCGCATCGTAAATCCATACACGGAATACGTACACGTCCGAAGGAAGAGGAGATGTAAGTATAACCAACGCTTGGATAAAATAAATAAAGAAATTGCCTTGTAGAGTTACTGTAGAGGAGGGGGGTAGGAGAGGTGCATTTGGTACGATACACATGCAGGTACCTATATATGACATAGATGTCCGCGTGCACCGGGTACGGGCTCGAACAGCCGATCGTCGTCACGTAAAGGGGGTATCGAGGTAACAAATACCAATACCCGATGCGAGAGGATGCCCGGGGAGGGATTACAATGGCGTGCACCATATATATATATTACCGATCGTTTTACGCGAATATCAAGTTCACGCCTTCGTTGATTCCGTATGTGTACAGATAGAAATAAAACTCCCCCCTTTGTTTGACACGATTCGACACGGCGGTACCGTGGATCGATTTTTCACACCTTTGACCGGTTTGGCAATCGATCGATAGTCTCGAGTCTACCACCAGCTGGTCAACGAACATGACGTGGGGTTGGAAAAAATGAAACGAACAAACAGCCAAGTTGGCATAAGTATAGTCACACTTTTTCTCAAATACCTCCACACGAGAGAGTCAAAATTCCCTTGACCCGAGAGTCGCGAAGAAGAAAGTATATAAGAGAGAGCCAATTGACGTATTATTATTATTATATTATAAATCACCAGCAACGAGAAAAATAAAATGTCACGGGCTGATTATTGCCGATACACATGCACGGGATACAAAAGCGCTGGAGGAAATTACATTGTAACTAGTGCACAATGTGTCACAGCGTCGTAGCTGGCACTCTTACGACTATGTTGACGGACAAAAAAAAAAAAAGACAAAATTAATAATAAAAAAAATCCCTCCCTGCGGTGTACTCTATTATACTCTGCTTGTATGTAATATACTTGATGTTAAACGAATATATACCACCACCACCACCACTTGTTTCACATGCACACTTGTATATATTATAACATGAACTTGTATAGATGATATATATATGTGTGCACCGCGCGGTGCAAATTAAATTGCACTTGATTTCGCTGTGGGGAAAACGTATGTATACACTTGAAACTAAGTCAACAACCCCCTTTGTATAAGTATAATCAACGCAAAAAGGGTGTCCTCGTATTGACGTCCAGCAGAGGTGAAACGGCGGTTAAAGTAACATATAAATGCTCGCTCGGTCCACCTGTATACCTAAACCATTTTCTCCCTTTCATTGCGCCATACATATATATATGTACATTATATTATATGCTATATGAGCAGTAAATTTCGCGTTTATCTCATTGTCGCAGCGTGAATCTTTTTCAATGATGTGGGTGGAGCGCGTGAGCATCATGCACTGGAAAATTAAACAGGAGAGGGACATCGAGCTTCGGTGCAATGTATTCCACGAGAAAAGATTCATACGTATGTATATACCTATAAAAACCCGTGAAAAAAAGTAAGTCTGCATATATATAATATATAGGTAGCGTTATCCAAGTATAGCCTCGAGAAAAGACGTAGCTCTAGTTGGGTCGAACATGCTTGGCTGGACACTTGCCCTCGTATATATAGCGCATCATCGGAGCGTACATAAGCCGCCGTGTATACATGGAGAAAACTATCTCCCGTGCACTCCACGGAAACTCGCGTCACACTCGACCTTTTACACATATATTATAATAAGCGTGCATAGGTAATACACAAATATACATAGTATAAGTGATGGTAATGGTTATACACAAGTTAAAGATACACCATGTGTATATACGTATAAGTTTACACGTATACGTATATAATATGATAATAAATAAATAAAGAAAAAAATTGTCACTGGGTGAAGGCTCGAGAAGACGGCACGTGCACATTCGGTGGTGCGCATAAAGGAATTGCTCTGATGAAAAAGAAGAAAAGGGGGAGTCGGTTTTTCACTCACGTGGAAACTGCTGAGGGCTCGCTTGACGAGCTCGTCGTCGTACAGATCCCGTAGCGTCATGCCCTTCTTGCCCCGCATCCCCTGGAATCCATGACTCGGGGCGCGCTTCTCGTGCCACTCCACGTCCGAATCCTCAAAGTCCTCGCTCTTCTTGCCCCTCATGCCTTGAAAGCCGGCCATCCGGGCGCGCTTCTCCGCCTCTCCCATCATCACCTACGCACGTGCATGCATCATACAATATGTATACCGTATGGCTACACCCACGCGTTAAATATATATATATATCAAATCGTACATCATGAGAGTCTGTACATATGCGTGGGTAATCCTGGTTGGTACATTTTTCATTTTTGCCTTTTCCGTCTTACAAATATGAGGCTCCGATCATTTGTTACCGCGGCAGTGTGAGCATTAAATATGTCCATGGTGTACGTTTGTGGAAGCGTGCAGGTCGGGGGTTGGAGGGAGGGTGAGAAAAAGAGGACGAGATCGTTGAACCTTTACCCCTTCGTATACACCATCATCTTTCGGGCAACTACCTGTTTGTGTTTTCATAAGGCCCGCGCGTGTACTCGCTCGAGTGTATTTTTATTATCTTTTTCTCGCGAAATCGAATGAGGAAAACGAGTGGCTCTTAATTGAATACCCGAGTAAGCGCCCGATAATACCTATATGTGGGGGCCACTCTATATATTCCATCGGGCAAATATACACCGCGGTGACAACGAGAAAGAGCTGAATCTATATTATAATATATTTGTGTGTAGCATATTTTGTTCATAAAAATGTGGCGGATGTAGGGGCGTCAAGTTATGAAAGACTTACCTCCTCGAGGCTCTTCTTGCCCCTCACACCTTGAAAGGCCGAATAGGGGGCACGCTTGTCGAGCATCGACTCGTCGAGGTAGTAATAGCCACGGGCGCCCTGGTAACAATTACACATACACATGTAAGTATTTTCGTACATTTATCACCTTTGTTGTGGTCAATGATGGTTCTCTCGACTCACCCCGTCGTACGGCTCGTTGCTCTTCTTGCCCCGCATGCCCTGGAAGCCCCGCATCGAGGCTCGTTTTTCGTAATCGCTCGGTCCCAGCAGCACCTCGTCTAGCTCCCTCAGCTGGCGCATCAGATTTCCCGCGTCGCGCAACTCTTGCATCTTTCGAGCAAATAAATATACATGTATACACATCGTACACAATATCCACAATGGGTTTTTTTTTTATAGGTAGAACGGGGCGCTGTAGGCAATAATATCGGGCGTACAGGCATGGGGGTTACCTGATGATATTTCTCGAGGTCGCTCAGGTCCTGCGCCGGTCGTTTCTTCGTCTCGGCGTCGGAAAACTCCGAGGCTCCCACGTCGTTGCCCCGATGGCCGGCGCTCGACGGCGTCTCGTGTTGAGCCCTTACCGATGTAATCAGCACCACCAGTAGCCCCATCATCGCGATCGCAAATGCCCGGCTCGACACATTTCCCTCCCGGGCCATTGTACCCTATGTTGTACGAGAACACGAGTCAACGGTTTCATCCAATTGTTTGATCGCCCATTGACACATTCCCCGTAATACTTATATATATACGTATATAGGCACAATGACGATTCTCATTTTGCGTGCACTCTGTACCGCGTTCATGTGTGCCCATATAGTCACTCTTTTACGTACATGCATGTAAGAATGTCATAAAATCGAAAATCTCCTTTTCCTCGTCGCTTTACATATTATGAGGTATATATATACGGCGGAGCGTGAGCATCGGGGGGATAAAAAGGCAAGGCTCGCTAATGGTATTGGTATGTATTTATTCTCGACAGGACGAGTGCGTTAAAACGCGGGATTCGCGATAAAAGCGCGCGGGACGGGAGGGGTGTGACAACGCGTTACCCTGGATTTATTTATGCGGCTCCCGACTTCTTTTTGCGCGCAAAACGTTGTGGGGGCGTTTTCGTCGATTTGATTGATTTTTTTTTTTTTTCCAACGTTTTTGATGAATTGGGAAAATCGAATGGCGAGTCGACCAGGGGAAATACGGATACTTACTTTTTGTGCTCCCTCTTTTCTTCTATTCGAAAAAAAAAGGATAATGACGTATACCGTATAATGTGTCGAATTTTTTAAATTTCGACCCAATGATTGCAATCAGTTTCTTTGCAAGTACACAATGACGGGTGTATGGTAAAATGCAGCTTGTCAAAGTTAGTATGGACTATATTAAAGCGAGACATATTATAAGGGTATATTTCGTTGAGACCGCAGTCGTATGTGCTCGTAAAAGTAAAATCTAAAAAATTGCAGCCCAAACACCGGTACTTTCTTCGTAACTCCTTGAAAAAAAAACGAGGACAAACAAAGGTCAGCATCAATCCCCGTTAAAACTTTATAAAGCGCGTCCGCGAAAAATGTCCACTTGTACAAATACGTATACGTATAAACTTCCATATGGTATACCTGAGGCAAAAACTCGGTGGCGAACAAACAGAGAAAGAAAAACAAAAATACGCGCACCGCAGCCGTTTTCCTTTAATTTCCGAGCAGAGCAGAGGCTGAGCAAATAAATAAATGAAAAATCAGTAATAACAAAGTTAAGCCGCTTGTTTGGTTGTTTGCCCAAAGAATCATCTGCAGGGTTTTGTCCCGAACGTCCGGAGACGGGCGATCCACAACAACCTGCCCCATACGTACGGCTGGAAAATATACGTTACGAGACGTACGAAGAAAGGATGTACGGCGAGGGATGGGGGGGGGGGAGGAAAAACAAAGTGCCGTCCCCGACAATGGGTGATAATAAGGTGCAACAAGCAGAGAATGTGGGTAGAGCCGGCGACAAATAAAATCGCGCGTGTTATGCTTGAGGGACGAGTACAAAAGGGGGGGGGGGTTGGATGATGTATACGGGAAAGTGGTGGGCGTGTAAGAGAGGGCAAAGCGAGTGGTAAGGGGGTGAAGTATAATAGAAACGGAGAGAGATAACGGGGAAATCTTTTTCTCTCTGGCTGCTAGTGCACGAATCTGTAGCCTGATTCGAGGACTCAACACCATCGCTGCTCTGCCGCCGACGCGACGCCGACTCTTTTCTTCCGAAGCCCCTTTCCTTTTAAATGCGTAAGTATACGCTTTTGTACGCGTATGTGGGTTGCCATCGTCGGATGAATGGGCCAAGGGGCACTTTTCTCGATGGAGTACATCAGCGCGTCTTGGATGATATTTTCGACGAGACCGGGATTTCCTGATTTCTTCGACAAAATTTCCCCAACGACCGAGGCATTTTCCGAACCAAATTTTTTCACCGCTTGCACCTTTTTTTTCGCACTACATTGCCAAACATGCGTAACATTAATTTATACACCACTACGATAAAATGCTGCCCGACTCGCGGGACCATCAGTTTTTATGTAAATGTGCGTCATTGTAAATTTTTCGTCGAGATTGTATTTTCAAGTCATGAGAGAGAAAAAATTTTTTAATGAGAAATCCGTCATCAACGACAACGGCATCCCTTAAGCCCTTCTTCAATCTTTCTCGATTATAAAAAAAAAAAAAGAAAAGAAAACTGATGCTGCAGTATAAATATGCAGTGGCACAGGTATCGTTTTACTATAATGTCAGCCATCATGTATGCGTGAATCAATTTAATCGACTTTTCAGCGCACATGTACGTATTATCCACAGCGTTAGTATGGCTATAGGTATATTGTACGAAACGCGCTGGTGTGTAAGTATGTTAATATAGATTATCAATAACCATTGGGTAGCTACAATATCTACTAGGTATTGATTTTTCTTATATCCAGAAGCGTGGTTGGCTAAGTATATGCCGTGCACACGTAAGTAATGGTGACAAAAAGTGGCCGTACCTATGTGTATTGTATAATATACTTGGGTACATAATTATTGTACGCACGATAAATCATAATATGGAGCACCTCGAGCGCAAGTCAAGCAAATAATGATAGTGTGAATTATGGTCAAGTATATATATATATA